GCCGGATCCTATGGCACTCATCTTTTCATCAGAAATGCTCAGTAGCTCCCAGCTTCCTAGGAGATGAAGACCAAATTCCTTGATCTGAAAACCTCCTTCTTCCCCAGCTACTTGCAATGACCCTTGAAGAACTTCTTGCTCCCCTTCCTCCTGCCCTGATCCTGGAGATTATTTCCCCCATCTCACTCTGCCTCATACAGCCCCTCTTTGTAAAACCTGCCGAGCCCCCCAGCCATGTGGAATCCCTTCTCTTCACTCTCAACAATGACTGTCTGTGTCAGGGACTGGCCCTCAGTTCAGGGCAAGAAGAGCATGTGACTCTTCATAGTACACATGAACTAGAGAAGTCCCTTCCAACTAGAGGCTCTCTGAACAACTCGGGACAAACTGAGGGCGTCACCTACTGGCTTACGATCGCATACCTGACTTGGTGACTGCAGGGGGCTGCTTAGGAGATGGTAACTCAGCACTGCCCCCCACCACCTTTCTTCTGGACAGCACATCTTCCTCCCACTCCCCACACGTAGCTGGGCAGGAAGCTACGTTCCAATGTGTTTCCATCCCCAGATCACAGCTGACCAGCCTAAAGGCGAGCACCTGATCTGCGATGGATTCCTTTTTCTGGAATCCTTTAGGCTCGAAACCAAGAGAGTATCAGGCCCAGGGATATTGGGGGTGCTGTGTCTCCCACCAAGTAGGTGAAGAGAGAGAGAGGAATAAAGCAGATACACAGAAGAGAAGACCTGGGGAGGGGCTCCTGGCATTGAGCCCTGGAGTCAGCTGTTCTAGAAGAGCAGCAGCACTCTCATCATGGGATCCCTGATGCTGCCCAAGATCCTCAGAGCAAATTCTCCTTTCTGCTCACTATAGCTTGAGCTGGGTTTCTGTTAAGTGGAATCAAGTCCTAAGCAAGCCTGTGAGCATCCAATTTTTATCTAGAAAAACTGGTGAAGACAAAAGGAGGCAAGGAGAAGAAATTAACATTGATGAGATAGTAGAACAGTCTTTATCTTAGATCTCAGCTCAGCTACTTGGGAGCCGTTCATCTTAGATTACGTAGAGAACGTCCCTGAGACTTGATTTCCTCAACGTAAAATGGAAATCTGGACACAATCTTAGAGTTAGTCTGACAATGACAGGAGATGCTGCATATAAAGCTCTTAGCACTTGGTGAGCATCCAGTACATGATGGCTGCTTTTACACTCTCATCGCCCATTTACCGTGAGCCAGGCTCTGTGTTAAGTGCTCCACAAACATCTCGCAGAACCCCCACCACAATGACAAAGGCAGCATGAGCCCCAATGAGGAGAACAAGGCCGCAAGCACTGAAGTGACCTTTCCAAGGTCACTCAGCCAAAGCAAGGTCTCTCTGACCTGAAATTCCCTGCCTGCCTTGTGTTTTAATTAACTTCCTCACACTGTCCTCCTAAGTCCCAGAAAGAGCCAAGTCCAAGCCTGCTGACCATCCTGTCTTTCAAAACCCTCTCTAAGACTCCACTCCAATGTGGGGTGTAGGGGTGCAGAGGTTTATTCTGCCTTGATTTATGGAGTCTGCGCCAGGCAGGCTTTGTTAGAAAACTCCAGCACATCTTGTGTGTTCCCTGCCAAGAGAATCTCCATGAGGTAGACGGGTCATAGGAACCAAAGGTATTAAGTCAATTTTCAAAATTCTTACCAGTTCGTAAGATGCTTAATAAACACTCTTTGAATTGAAGGGTTAAAATGCCTAGGGCATAAACACAGACTCCTGCACTTGGGGGATGGTTTAAGACACTTACTTTCAACAGCAAGCTGCTCAGAAATGTCAATTTTATTCTCTCTTAATTTCCTAGGACTTAGACTGTCACAGGCAAGAGTCTGTCTTTCAATGCTACAACTAGAATCTCCCCAAACTAGAATATCAAGGGGAAATTTTAAATATGATATAGAAGCTCAAAATATTAGAAGAGCAAGGAGCCCAGAACAACCTCTTCACGTGAAGTAAAAAAGAAAGGCCCAGAAAGCTGAGGAGATTTGCCCCGGGCCTGGTGTGAGGCAGGGCCTGGCCTGGCGCCCTGGCCTGCCGCGTCCCTGTCGGGGGCTCACCCTCACCCCAACTCTGCCTCCCTAGCTGATCTTACTTGTCTGCCCTGCCTCCCACAGAATCAAAAAGATTATAAGGAGGGGACCATAAATCATTTTTCTCTCATGAGTTTATAGCGTTCCTTTCTGAGGAGTTCAAAAGCACTCAGTAATAAACCAAGGTGATGAGTTTATGTCTTTTGCTTTTAAAATGAAACTTTATTTGAACTCCTGGAGAGGCATTTACGTTTTTTTAATTTAGGACATTCCTCTCTCATTTCAACGTTTCGCCCCCTGGCATTTTCTGTGGGCGGGTGGGCAATGAGAGTGGATGATGGGGCGGGGGGGAGGGAGAGGGGTCTCCGTCTGGCCCTCCCCTATTCTCCTACAGGCTTTTCCAAACGCCTGACAGAGCCCTCCCATCTACGGTTTTCAACAAGTCTTAACATCTATACGGAGGAGTCCCTCCTCCCACCCCCACGTTGACTTGCCTGTAGTTTCTTTCTTTTGTGCCCCTCTCCACTGCCCACCTCCCTCTCGCCATAGCCACTAAGAGCACAGAAATGATAGAAAACCACGCTATCTGCAAGAGATTGGGCTGCCGGTGAGGATCTCTTTGCTTTTCGTTACCCTAGTCTCTTGCCACTGCCCTTGCGGGCTCAGAAAAAAGAAAACACAGTTAGCAAAGTTAAAAAAAAACTGAAGCTGAGAGCTACACTTTAAGAAGAAGATGAGAGAGAAAAAGTGAGATGTTGGGAGAAAGAAGAAGGGCAGGAGGGAGGGAGGAAGGGAGGGAGGTAGAGAGGCAGACCTGACTCATTGTACCTCCTGTACCAACCAAGGTTTTAAACAAATGCGAAACTGTCTTGATTTGTCTGGCCCAAGCATTTTTGCTAATGATTTTATTCAGGTGTTAAGCCCAATTTCAGTAACTAACCACATGTAAATACTGCCTGGCCACCACACAGCCTTTCCAAACAGAAACATAGGGGCGGCTGCTGCTTGCAAGCAGTTAGAACCACAAGCTTAGCTTCTGGGCCCCTGCATTCAATAAATATTTGGTGAATGAATAAACCCAAGAAGTACTTAATGATTCAATATATGTCTAGGGTTTTTATTTCCCCTGGCCTCACAGGCCAGCAGGCCAAACCATACAAAACTCTTCAAGTAAAACCACTATATGGTTGTTCCAGGTGGCAGAGGAAACAATTGCGTTTTCTGAGTGACTTCAACACCAGTAAACCATGGGAGAACAATGGGGTCTCCCTGGGAGCCCTGTTTGAACCCATTTATAGACACAACAGATGCAAAGGGAGAGCCCCACCGGACTGGGGCAAAACAAATTAAGCCAAACTGCTGAGCCCTGCATAGCAGCAGCTTAAGTCCAGGAGAAAATATTATACTAGGAACATAATACCTACAAGGAAAGCACTGTTCCTAACCTTTGAATGTAGCTGGCATTTCTCCTAGGAAAACACTAAAATATTCTCAAGGGGGTCACTGCTCTCCTAGCATCATTAAGCAGCTCTAGCCAACTATTTAAACGATGAAGTATCAGGGCCTGGGCCACCTAAAACATCTTCATTCAACTTCATGAACTGTAAACCAAACAGGTAATAATTCCTGTGGGCTTTTTTTCCCCCTATACAAGGGCAGGAGAACTCGACAAGTGCTCGGAAGATACTCAGAAGACAAGTAGGACACAAAAATCACAAACAGATTAGACCCATGAGGGTCTCCGGGGCCAAAAGTCTTTCAGGAGACACTGCTGGGCCATCTTCAAATCTGGGAAAGGCTCCTTCGCTAGCACTCTGCATCAAAACCACCTCTTCTCTGGCCTGGGATCTCCCAAGAAATCCACAAGAGGTCAGGAACCAGGGCTGTCTTTTCCCCCAGCTGTCTCCCCAAAGTATCTAGAACAGCAGCTTCTGAAATATATAAAAAATATTCAGGCAATAACACTGTCCTTAGGAGACAGATACCACGTTTCCTCCAACCAAAATTCTAGTAACTTTCTCAAAACCTTTCTCTATAACAAAACGATCAGTTTAAAACAGGCTGTTACCTGTTATATTTTAAGATCATTGACAGATGGCTTTCCAAAATAAATTTATTTCTATCTTATCCTGCAGTCAGAGGTAATGCTGACCCTCTTGGCTAAACACAGTCTTTTTTAGTACTTCTAAATGAGATAACAGCCAATGGCAGCAAACATTTTTTGAGAGCTTATTCTGTGCTAGACGTTTGCATCTCATCTCACCTCCTAACCATCCTATGAGGTAAGTTCTAATACAGGACCATAATTGCTGTCTGCCATTCTAAAACCAAAAAAGCTCTAAAACCCAAAACTTTTTCCATAACTTACTTGGCAGAAAAACTTAATGGACCTGAACTCATTTGGAGGCAAAGCTGCCCTGAACTAACACAAGGCTATTTAGATTTCAGTTATCCCACTTAATGTGAATATCCATATTGTTTGCTATACAAATATGAATGTTTGATTATTGAGTATTGCCCCAGATCTCCTGGGGGTTACTTAATGTAAAATATGTGTACCTCAATACCTTTCTAAACCCCTCAAATCTCAGAATTCTGCAGCATTTGGCCTCAAGGGTGTAAGATAAGGTATTGTGAATCTCTATTATCAACCCATTTCTCAGATAAGAAACTGAGACTCCTTCAGGGGAAATAACTTGCCCTTGGCCACACAGTGGCCCAGAAGTGGAGCTGCCTCTGAGGCTGGCAGTCTCCATCATAGCAAGCACCACGGTGGGCTGCTACAAGAGACCTCTTAGTCCTCAACCCACGTGACCTCAGCTAGGCAAGAGCACTGTGCCAGCATGGCTGTTCTCCGCAACCAACTGTTAGAGAACTGAGGAAATGGGAGAGTGGAGAACACCAATCGGAATCTGAGCGATTCGGAGGACCTGGTGCTTACCTTGCCCAGGACAGTGAGGCATGGTTTCGGGTCCAATTCTGGCTGTTCCAGCTTCACCACTCCTACCCAGCCATATTCATACAAGTCCTCTTCATCATTGTTATTACACAGGCCCAGTGGGTGCATCTAGGAAACAAAATGGAAAGAAAACTTCAATACGCAGGCTGCAGATCTGCTTGACACACACTGTGCATTCCTCATGCTCAACAGTCAAAAGTAACCTCAAAACTAAATTATATGGGAGGGGGATGTTTTTCAACCCATGGGGAATCTTATTTCAGCACAATGAACTGAACACTGGGGAGAAAACAATAGAGCTACTATAAATATATTTTATGGATGCTTTTTCACTGGCTTTGCAAGCAGTGGTCGCCCAAGGTGTACACCAACCGATGGGATGTAGGGAAAGAAAAATAGCATAACTCCATGTAAATGCCAATCTAAACTGCTATAAAAAAAATACCATAACATTAAGTAGCAATTACAGATGAGACCAGCAAGGTTAGTATCCAAGACTATTTGGCTTCTAGACCTTAACAACACGTCTGCTTCAATTTATGCAAGAAGACCTGGAAACACATTCAGGAATTTATGGAGAGACCACTAGACATATGGCAAAATCACCAGTACAATTAACAGGCTGTTTAAAGGCTATCCCTGGTTAGTGGGAAACAGATGAAATCCTTTGAGGTTTTTTTCAAAATTTGCAAAGCACAAAATCAAAGATAGGTAGAGGAGCATCGTCAAATTTTCACTAGTAAACGTGTAGTAGTTGAAGTCTGAAAACAGAAGAATCCTAAGGTTTGCGCTCACAGTTCCATCATTGAGTCATATCAGGCCCTAGTAGCTGTAATAACAATCTGAGAACAGGAAATCCTCCTGGATAAACATAACTTATCAAGAAGTTCATGAGCCTAGCACAGTGCTAAACTCTATTTAAATAACTGGAAGAAATCTATCTTGAGATTCATAGCATGTTAGAGACACAAGAGACCTAAGAATCCACTGTGGTAGACAGAATAACGGCCCCCAAAGACACCTACATCCTAATCCTCAGAACCGGTGAATGAATATGTTCCCTCACACAGCACAAGAGTCCTGGCAGATGTGATTAAGTTTGAAATGGGAAGATTATTCTGGATTACCTGGGTGGGCCCAACGTAATCACAAGGGTCCTTATAAGGAAAAAAGGAAATCATGGAAACAGACAGGAGATGTGACAACGGAAGCAGAGGTTGGAGTGATGTGCTTTAAAGAGGGAGAAAGGAGCCAAGAGCCAAGGAATGCAGGCGGCCAGCATCTAGAAGCTGGAAAAGACAGGAAACGGATCTTCCCTAGAGCCTCCAGAAGGAATGTAGCTGTGTCAACCCATTTTTGATTTCTGACCTCAGAACTGTAAGAGAATAAATCTGTGCTGCTGTAAGCAACTAAGGTTGTAGTAGCTTGTTATAACAACAAATAGGAAACTAATACACCCACCTTATTATCTCCCACTCATTTCACAGATGAGAACAGAAGTTCAAGATAAGTAGCTTTTCTAAGACAACACAACCAGCAAGCAGCCGCACCCAGAGGTGACCCGGCCCTCAGATTCACAGTCCAGTGACTTCCCACTCCACCTGATTAACTTCAATTTCCTTTCCTCAGAGAGCTGGTCATCTGATTGGGGAAAAAAGACTAAGTAATAAAGTCTGTAGGAAAAAATGCTGTCAGTTCTCAATTCAGTAGTATTAGAGGGCAACATGAGTTTAGTGCAGGCAGCAAGAGTTGCTGGAATGTTTGGGCAGGCTTTGTACAACTGCTAAGCCTTGAGCTGAGCTTTGAAGGAAGAGTTAGGCTGGTCAGGGAAAAAAGGAGAGAGGGCAGACAGTCATTCCAAGCCTAGGGAGGAGGAGCTAAGGGCTTGAAGGAGAAGAAGAACGAGACCAGCCTGATCTGTATGGAGGGCCACAGTCTACACGGAGAAGGAAAGAGATGAGATCAAAAACTAGAAAGGAGTGTGGACCCCAAGACAATACCATAGGTTCCTCGGCAGAAGGGAGGCACACGGAAAATAGTTATTTGAGGCAGATGGGTTACACACCTTCTGGCAGTGCTGTGCCTGGACTTGAGAAGCATCAATGAGTGGAGGAGTGAAGGGTGCAGCCGAGAGATGAGAGATCCTCGGTAATTCAATGGAACAACGAGGAAGGGGGTTGCACAAGCCCATGAGGCAGGTGAACACAGCATGCTACAAGGGGTGGCCAGTAGCTACCTTTATAGCGGTAAAGATAACCCACCCCCTGGGAATTCCAACACATGAGACAGAAAGCCCTGGGACATCCAATTTTTGCATGAGTCCTCAGGCTCAAAGAGTGTGTCCAAAGGACCAATGAGGGTTCTGCAGTGCAGTGGACAGCACAACTTTCCCTCCACTGCCCCTGAAGAACTCAGTCCACTCTAGGATGTTTGATGGTCATTAATGATGAGCAGCTTGAAATGCAGACCTCTGACTGGAGAGGGGATAAATGAGGGTGATAAGCCAATTGTGCCCACAATCAGTCACCTCTGACCTCCAGGAAAAGGATCCCAGCCCAGCTCAAGTCAGCTTCTCGAAATCCCAGGTCAAGTCATGTCAATGGCAACCACACTACTGACCCTTTTCTACAGTATTCCATGGTACTTTTAAACTGGCCACGTGACTTGGAGGTTTCCAGATGGAGAGTTGCTTTTTGTTACTTACACATGTACAGGGTTTGGCCAATGATAAAGAGCTATGTTGGGGGAGCACAGGTATTATGCAGGTCTAAGACCTTGTATCTACATCAAAACCTTACTGAAGAAGGAAGTCAGACACAAAAGGCCACGTATTGTTGACTCCACCGAAACGAAATATCGAGAATAGGCAAATCCATAGAAACAGAAAGCAGATTAGTGATTGCTGGGCGAAATGGAGAGTAACTGCTTATTGGGTACAGAGTTTCCTTTTGGGGTGATGAAAATGTTCTGGAAGTGACAGATGCACAACACTGTGAATGTATTAAGTGCCTCTGAATTGTATACTTTAAAATGGTTTAAACAGTGAATGTTATATCAATTTTACCACAATAAACAAGTTTAAAAACACATGTCCCAAGAGTTTACTCAGAAATGACTGCCTTCTTGGGCCGGCCCCGTGGCTTAGCGGTTAAGTGCGCGCGCTCCGCTGCTGGCAGCCCGGGTTCGGATCCGGGCGTGCACTGGCGCACCGCTTCTCCGGCCATGCTGAGGCCGCGTCCCACATACAGCAACTAGAAGGATGTGCAGCTATGACATACAACTATCTACTGGGGCTTTGGGGGAAAAAAATAAAAAAACAAAATCTTAAAAAAAAAAAAGAAATGACTGCCTTCAGCTAACATGTGGATCCACAGTAGGGAATGACGTGGTTTCCACCATTCCAGAGCCTAAGCCTTCTGGAACTGTGTGGAACTCCTTCTGGAAACTGTGTCCTGCAGAATACTAGCCCTGCAAGATGAAAACCAGGTTCTTATACAAGTAACTAATGCTGAGAAACACTTCTTAGGGATTCAGGATTTACATTTGTAAATTAAAGCTCTGCAGAGGCCTAAGGTTTAAAAAACAAAAGGTTTTTAACCTTTGCTAAAACCAGCATTTCCTACCCTTTGATTATAAGACCATTTTGCGTTTAATACAATCATACTGTTTCATGGGACACACTTTTTCAGACATGCATACACGCATGCGAGAATAAACCTATAGCAACAAACGCTGAACACTCGTGTCATAAAGAATAAAGGCTATGATGGGAAGAGACAGAAGGGCAGCTGGGGGGAAGGGGAGGCCTGGGAAGGTGGGCAGGATGTGGAGAGAGGGAGAGGAGGAAGAGGATCAGGAATGAGAATCCAGAGCAGCAGAAGCAGAGGAGATGCCGAGGCCTGGCCCTTTGCAGCCACGGTGAGGAGGAAGTGGGCCTGACCAGGCTGGAGGCTTATGTTGTAGAAGAGCAGAACACAAGGCCACAGGAGAGGCATGTCAAGAGCACATCCCCAGGCATGCAAAAACCTGAACTATGTAAGCCTCAAACACATCCACCAGTCCCCTCAGGTTTGTCAGGCCCAGAGCCCTAGGCTGCACTCTGCTGGGCCCTATCTCCCTCCTCAGTAGTCACGCCCTCCCATTCTCCTCCAAGACTCCCCTATCAAATCTTCCATGACACTGGGTGACTGATAGCAGCTCAAAATGTCAGCCCTGTCAAGGATGTTGACTTCTAAACAGAGATCAAAGACTTACAAACCAAAAGGAATTTTTCTAAAGTGCCAGTAGGTGCAGTTGGTTGGTGTGGGATGTTAATTTTCCCATGGAGGGCAAAAAGGCCACCAATATCACATCTCAGAGAATCGAAAACCTACCTCACCATCTCCACTCAAGTTCCTTGTCTTCTGAGTTCCTTATTCCAGTTTACATCTCCAGGTGCCCAAACTATGGGGCCTGTGAATTCAATCTCAGCCACATTTCAAGCGTAACTAGCCTCCTTGACCCATCTACTGAATAGATTCAGGTCTCCATCAGCTCACCCCTGATGTCAGTATCAGCTTCTGGAAATGCCTGCCACCCCAGGTCTCCAACCTTTTACACCCTGGGGTTCTCTTTCCCCAACCGCTCCAAGTTATGAGGTCAGTAGAATGTTTTATAAGGAAGCACAAGTAGCGATAACATGAAAATATTCATTCACAAACTGACCTGTCTCAAAGGATGCAATATTCCAGGCAAAGGCATAATACTGCACAAACAAATGTGCCAAGTCTAGGGAAAGTGATACATCAGTGAACGATGTTCAAGCATGTTAACTTTGAACTTAATGTAGCACACAAGCATTTAAAACATAGGCATTTCTGAGTTTATTTTCTCAAAATGTTTGGATGAGTGGGGTTTACTTGATCAAATGTTTGAAATTTAAGAAGTTTTTGATTTTTAAGAAGGTTAATATTTTTAAGAAGGTTAAAAATGGCTGACTTGTGTGTAAGAACTCAGGGACGTCAGAAAGAACTATTAATGAAAAACATAAAGAAAAAATCAAATAGAATTGGAAACCTAGAATGGAACGTCACAAAACTCATGGCACAGAGAACACTGGAGAAAGGGAAGG